ATCTTTTCGAGTAACTTAACGACAATGCTAGTTAGACTGGCAGGCCCGTAGTTAGATACGATCTGTCTCTGATCATGCTTAAATATAGGACTGACTATAGCGTCTTTCCAATCTCTACGTTGTTGAGCGAGTGAAAAGGACATGTTGAAAAGTGTCGCGAGCGGTTCTTTAAATAATGTCCGCAAGAGATGACAGCATCCGTGGACGTATAACATTATGCCTTCCTCTTTGCGACTTAAAACTCTATCACTTCTAATACAGATATAGCCTGCTATGATGAGAGAACATTCTATATCTACGGTGAACCAAGTTTCTGCAACAACAATTATATCGTTCCTTAATTCATCCACCATCAGACTTTGTTATTAATTTTTGTGATTATTTGTAGGTTTTAATTACTCCGTCCAACCTGTACAAACACTACATTGCTTAAATAATTTATAAAGTTGATTTTCATCATTCATGTTTATTGTTCACATGTTTTGATAATTACAGGTCATTAACTATACCTGTTCACATAAATACATTGAGAGGATAGTTGAAACAAACTTTTGTCATTGGGTTTTGAATTTTTTAATTATTTCTCATGATTTGTACAACCACCACTATTGACTGTAAATTTTTATGCAGCGGCAAATCCTCAAATAAATAGTTCTGTAATTCCTCGACATTCGATGCTGACCACATTAGTTTTACTGGAGTCACCTTGCTGAAGGCGCTTGGTCACGCATCCGTAAAGGATCACGGGTGTATACACCGTTATCTGCGTCGCCAACAATAGTTAGTCAGCTTGGATCAGACTTTTCCCGATATATCGGTAGCCTTTCAAACATATCTTCGAACCTCTTCTTTCTTAACTTCCGATTTGACTGGCATACTTCGGTTATGGTGTTAAGTGTAAAGGCGTTTTTCAGAAGACTCCAAGGGAAGTGATGTTCAAAAAATGGCTTGAATCCTATATTCAGTTCTTGTGGCGAAGTCAAATAGTTCGCTGAGTTGTTGATTCCAAAAATAAACAAATTCATTCAAAAATAATTTTGCTTCATTTGTTGGAAGTTGTTTTTCGTCTGCCGACAATTATAGTAGTTAGTATTTAAGTCTGTGAACTAAGTTTTAATGGGAATTCTGGATAGAGTATGAAACTGTCAGCCCTAATCTAAGTCTCTACTTGAACACCATAGCTGAAATGAAGGTATGTCTGCCTGAAGGGCCCTTGTCAACTTCATTGTCCGATACGAAAACGTACTAAAGACCGTTTTTACCAAAACACAAGGTCAAACATTTGAGAAGAATGTAAAGCGAGATTGGCAAACTGTTAAGTTGTGAACAACTTACAAATGAGAATCTAACATTGTGAATTTTGTTCGCAAATGGGTTGGGTAGAGTTCATTTCACGTAGCTATGCCGTAATACTGACTGTATGTCTAAACAAACTCTTACCTGTTAGACACTACTTGTCGCTTCCTTTTTTATGAAAAGCTTTGTGATGATTATTTAGATCATATCGGACTTCTGCTTCTTATTTGAGATAAATTATCGGTTTTTTTAAAATTAAGATATAATCTTTGTATAGCCACATTCACGTCTCAAATATTGGTTTCATATATCTGTAGGATCGGCTGTAATGCTGTTACCGCGGCGAGTGAAATTTCAATATATCTTAGTATAGTGGACTTAAAATAACACTCCAAGATACAAAACTCCTTCGACACGGCATGAGTGGTTATATTAACAACTTTGTAAAACTATGGTCTTCTTCTTTATCAGTACTGCTCTATTAATAGACCTAATCCTAAAAGTGTAGGTCTGTTATGGAATAACTTCCTAATTTATAGGATCTTACGTGGAAGTCACATCATTGTCTACCCTGATTCGCTGCATTGTAACAATCATCAATATGTGGTGAAGAACATACTTAGATTAGAGATAGAACAGTATATTTAATATGGATAAAAATAATGTTACATAAGACCACGCTTAAAGACCTAGCCATGCCATCCGATCAATTCGAATTAGTTCAATTACTTCTTCATCGTTGGGTTTTTCTGCGCGTTAAACGTTGAGTGTCTATTCTCCCAGTTGTTTCGTGTTCAGCCTTGAGGATTGTTTGGTTAGGGCCCAATGCCACAACACTATTATCTCACTAGAATCAACATGATGTTGGTTCGATACCAAATTGAGTGGGATTATAGCGCATCGGAAGTTACCGAGAATAATAAGAATCCTCCGGGTATTAATGAACTGAAAGATAAATCAAAAAGCAGGGCGGCAGTAACTGAACGAGAAATGCGTGTAATAATTTAAAAATGTCTGTTTTAATGCTTAACACCTTTAAAATCAAAATTTAGGTGAAGATTATTTGAGCTAAACAAAGTGGGATTATAGCAATACTAAGTCACCGTAAAATGCGTAGTAGTGGCTTTTGGTTAATAACTTAACTTACAGGTAGTATTTTGCGTTTAAAAATATTAAAATCAATCAGTATTGTAGAAATTTCAATATTGTTATTAGTTTTGGTTTAAATTATGAAATCAGATAACGATTATGCCGGTATCCTGTCCATTTGCGTTGATTTCCAATTGCGTCTGTATTAGTAGGCTAACTGAAAGAACAAAAGTATTAACGTGGAGAAGAATTCCAACTAGTATTCCAGTTAGGTTGACACGGTTTATTTAGTTACGGGGAAATTTTTTCAACTTCATTCTTACTTGACCGTGATAGAATTTAGTAATACTACTAATACACATGAATGGTTATCAAAACGAAATTTAAATACGTGAGTGATAATTACGTGAATTTTGAACAGATAGGTAAGAACAAATCGTTAAACATGAGTGTATTCGTAAGAGACATACTCTAGACTGAATGTTCTGCGTTGCCCTAGACTATTTATACATATTTATACCTGACGGCTGATGATGTATACAAGTTAGTTGCAAGTATGCAGTTTATCATAAAGCGGAATACGATTTAATTGAGATATAGTGATTATAAGTTATTGAAATCAGTTAAGCTTATATGCCAAGCTTATATGCTGCAAGATGTATTCGGCTAAATAAGTTTTTACAAGATAATTAACAGTGGGTGATGCTCATGTGATTATCAGGGAGAACATAAGTCCTAATCAAGGAGAGTACACTCCCAACTCATGTCTATGATAATGGCTTGAAACTTTGTCAGTGTTGGGGTAAATTCGACATTGATGTTTTCAGTTTGCAGGAGAATTGCTCGACTGCTTATACTGATTATTTGCATGCATGATTGTGTCGCTAAATCATCAATTAGACTGACAAGGTTTTGAGATATTTACCGAATGAGCAACCGATAGAGAAAAATACTGTAATCATTTGTAGTGGATGAAGATAACGAGAAAACAACACTATTTAATGATAATTAAAAGCAGATTTGTTGACAGATTATGTTAATGGTTCTATCAATTTTATTAATCATATTGCGTGATCGTCAAGTCATGACAATGCTGTATGACGATATCTTGAAAGAAGTATGTTTAAGTGGTTAAATTGTTGGCTGAGGATTAACCAGTGGAAAACAGGTATTGTTGCTTTAGGTGATTCGAAATTATCAGAAATTCGTAGCGTTAACAAATCCGAGCTGCCTGATTATATTAAAAAATGCAATTTAAAATTATTTCTCTACATAGTTTTAATTTTATTAGTAGGCTCAGAAGTTTCAATTTTTATGTTTGTTTGACCAACAATTACCTGATAGTTAGTAAACTGGAGCAGTATGATAATACCCTGATTTGGTGATTATATTCGTCTTTTTAGGCAACTAATATGACAGACCGATTCTTAAACCCAAATACGTATAGCAATAACGACTATGATGGGTTCAGCGAAAAATGTTAAAGGCGATTCAAATGATTTTTAAGTTTAAAAGACGTAGAAAAATAATGCAACGCATGCACGGGCCAGCTTAACATGAGTGTTGTTGAGGTAAATGACAATTTAAAAATGATTAAGTTGGTCAGAAAAATAATTTTAAAGTTAAGACTTTTCATGAAACTTTAGGCGGGAATATTACGCGTTATAAACTTTCCATAAGAAGTTCCTGCATTTAGCCTAGTGACATTTACAAATATGTGGCATAAGCAATTGGAAAATATATACATGTTAAGTACGAAAACTCATCCAGTAAAATAATTAAACTTGCTTGGATTATTTTTGAAAATCAATTTCAATCGACGACATATATAAGACCATTAGTGACTAGCAACGGTCCAAAAGCATCGAGAATAAACACGAAGTATGGGAACCAATCTCAGAGTGCTTGGTGCTGATGACCATTTTGTCACTCGCTCGAATCAGAACAAGTGAATGATTCTAGATAATTAAGTGCCTGTCATTGTATGAACCACCAAACGTGACCTTATGATTGCAGAAAACTTATAGATTAAACTCACCCTAATTTCTTGGAGTAGGGTCTTAGCGGTTTAGCAATGGAACTCGAAAATTGGAAATTAGGTGGGCTGTGGTCGGAAGAAAAGATATTACAGGATAGTCCATAGTTTAAAACGGATTGAAACGTAACAAATTAATAATAAATTGATATTATTATTCACATTGAACACACTTCTATCTGAGAGAACTCGGTCAAGCGTCTTTACCAGATCACGTTTGAGAACGTTGTAATGCTCATCGCTTATGATAACTAATCGACTTACATTCCGTAGAATGCGTTTTATGAACCTTTTGCCCAGTTACATGTTCGTATCGCACGGCTTTTTACTTCTGATTTAGTTGGTATCTACAAATATTGGGTAACAGTGGCATCTTCTAGTATCTCTGAAGCTCGTCATATTTTATATTCTAATTTCTCGCAAGCATCTCAGTCTCTTCACTGACTGCGATTGAATACTCATTTTATCAATTTTCGACATTAAAACCCCTCCGTCAAGCGCAATGGGCTCATTTTTCTCGCCATAAGTTTTGTAGCTTAGATTTACAGCCTCAAGGTTATCGCTTGACCCTGAACATTTTGCGGCGGGTTTTTTGTTTGTTCGTCAAGGTCATCGGCCTTCAAAAATGTCATTTCTGAAAAACTGTCGTGTTTTACTAAAGAGTGCAAACTCGGATATACTACAGTCGCCTCAACACTACAATGTTATATTGGAAAATCGATTTGTGAGAGGTGCTTTATTATTTGATTCAGGGGCTGTCGCACATATCAGTTCTTATGAATTCGACTTTCGAAAGTGCCAATATACGAAAGCTGTTGACGCTTATGCATGCCTAGGCGTATTAGTTCCCATGATATCACCTACTTCTGACTCGAGCATTATGGCGCCACAGTCTTATCTTGTATTGGTTACTGGATGTACTTCTGTGGGCAAGTTGCCGCTCTTTGAGGTTTTTCGCATCACCAACGTGATATTCATCAATCTGAAGTGTCAAGGAGTTGAAGAAGACATATACCCTGATGTTAGTTTCAGTATTTTTGGTTGAGGCTTTCTTTTGGAGGGAAATCTATCCAACTGGATGCTATTTTTCTGTTTGTTATAGTAAATATTATTAGGGATATATAAGTTCAGGCTCTGAAATATAACTTGCTGTCGAATCAGCATAAAACCGCTCATCGAAATCGTTCGACTTATTGGACACTGTGTGTTATCGCTTTTATCATTATCATTCTTTTTAGGATTGCTTATATCGAATTTCTGGTTTCTACCCACAAAATGAATAAGTTATCGAGCGAGTGAATAACACAACTTACTTTTGGGGCTAAGTTAATGATCCACTGTCGAATATTTTTAGGTATTTTTCAAGCGTGTCACTTCCAAATGGAATCGATAGACAATAAATAGTAACTTCAAAATTGACGTTCAAAACGTATACTGATAATTTAAGATCATCTGCCTATTTGTGGCAAAGTAGTCAGTAGGACAGAAATCTGTGCTATTATTTATTCTATTCTTGGATTTCGTTTATCAGCTTATGTGGAACATGAGGTTGTAGGATCCCATATTCCAAATTAGATGTGATAGACTAAGCATTTAAACTCTAAATATTCAGTGAGACTCTGAAGAGCTTTAAAAAGAAATCATCAGACCGACGAATTTTTGACTTTTGCTACCATATAGTTAGTTCTAGTTGTGTGTTAGAATATGAATGATAGGTTTCTGTGGTCGGTTGTATTTTCAGGTGAATCATAGACTCAGTACCACTAAGTTCACCACGGTCATTACAAAATCAGGTAAGCAGTCAGTCTCTCCCACAGGGTGGTATGAATAATTAAGCATGATTTTACAATGATCATTAATTTTGCTCATGGTTGAAACATGAGAATGGTCTCTCTGGCCTTAGACTTCGGAGCTGAATATACTCAACAACATGACTAGGTAGCGTTTTGCGACTATATCTAGTGTCAGTTCCTGTTGAAAACCTGGACTCTAATTCCTAACCCTACTGTCCATCTGCAAATTTTAGTCTTAATTCTTCGCATTAATTTATAAACCTCATATAACCCTTGTAAGTATGTGGACATCCTCAGGGCCACTTAAACATTGCTCAAACGTCCATGAATTAGTTTCACAGACACTTTAATCATGGTAATATTGTTTACATAAATCCACACACGTTTCTACACACAATTTCATATTTCTAAAACATGTTATTTTATGTTATTTAATTGTAATCTTTATTCTATTGAGAGTAAGACGGAATTAAAGCTCCAATTCTCCCAACTTATAATTTTTTGTATTCTCAGACTGTTTGTATTTTGTTCACCAATAGTCATACACGCACTCAATAATCCATTGTGATCACATGAAGCATTGGAAATATGCATGTATTTAAATCACCACCTCAATTCGTGGTTTATATTCATAGCTACGTTTATTGCTAATTTTGGTGTGATTTTGGATTTGGTATTAGTTTATATTTCTAAGTGACATTATTAAATGAAATCATTTTACTGTTTTCTATGTACAACTAGTTTGCTGTTGATATACTATCAGTGTGTTGATTTTTAATTTGAAGAAAATTGACTATATATATTACTCAGTGCCTCTATTTCTGCAATCTTTGTTTATCTCTGTTTGGACGTTCTAATCCTTCACATGATGGACTTTTTGGCAATGGATAATTACTGTTTAAAAACAATTGATTCTATAGAATTCATTTGGGATTTTTGTTGGCGTACAACTAGCATAATATCATTCGTAAATATCAATCCTGGTTTATTGAATGTTAGCAACCATCAAAGTGATCTCGTTTTTCCGCATGAAACAACAGGTCCCCTTACAATCCTAGGACTTTGGCAGCTCATCTAAGTGTAGTTAAAAAGATTGATGGTTAAATTCCAGAAAAACCCTTGGATTTAGTGTTCACTTAATTTCTTTTATATTCTGCAACAGTCTTTGATATTTTTCAATGTTCGACACAGCATATCGTAGATTTTAGTACTTATTTGCATATTTCAACGTTGCACTAAACAAATGAGCAGCTGTAGGTGAGCAGTTATCAAGTTTGCGTCGTTAAATTCTGAACAGCGTTTCATTTTCATATAAAGTTTTCTGTAGTTCTTTCATCAGGAATGGATCAACCCACAATTGTTTTACTGTTTATTTTTGGTTAGTTAGCCATTTCTATTCCGTGTTAACTGCTTGAGGTCCTGTTACTAAAAGTCCTTATTGATATTCATCAGCAATGTCCATTGTTTTCAACTAATAAGCCATAGTTTAGTGTTTTATTCCACTTGAAGTCACTGTTAGCTACAACGTTAATTATCACCTAATAACTAATTTGCCCACTTTTGATACAATTAATTTCTTCTGAAAATCCTTATACTTCTTGGTAAAATTCTCAATTGTTAGGTATCATTTTTGTTTACAGCTCCGAAAACTACTGTCATCGGGAATGTTTTACTTTGCCCGATCCAATATTGATGGGAAACCATTTGATTTAACTGTTAACATTCAGAATCGAAGTCGTTTGGGTGATGAAATTTTGACTTCCAGTGATATATACACTCGGGGTGATACTGGACTAAATTTTCTGTGGAACAAAGGTTTGATGGGACCTTTGATACGAGCTGGAATCAATCCTAGTGATTGGTTGGTATCCATAATATGTGGTGGATTCGAGGTTTGTACAGTTTATTGCAGCGCTGGTCAAGCTCGAGTTGGTGTCGTATCAAGAGTGTCAGCTCAAAGACCTGGTACACGTTTTCATGTACGCGGGATAAATGATTGTGGCGATGTTGCTAATTTTGTTGAAACAGAACAGGTGGGTAATTTTTCAAAGTGTCCATCCAAAATCAATTTTACGTATGATAAGCACTGAAACTCCACACAAGTGTTTCATTAACCAAGGAGTTGTTCTATTATTTTTACGAATTATGATTTAGTAAACGTTTACAAGACTGTCAAAATAAATTTATAGAATGCTGGTTGCGATTACATGGCTGATTGATAACTGTTTACAATACCAGGATAACTCAAACTCTAGAATAAATTGAGATCAAATATAAGACCGGAATAATGGGTTATTTCTTCAATAAAATCATTTGAAATATAAGCGATCAGGAAATAGTGATTTTGTAGGTCATTCAGATTCTAATGAAAGTTAGATATGACATTAGGCCAAATGTCCCCCCAACATATCAGTTATGCTGTTGGTGTTGTCATATAATAATGTACGATAACTTATTGAATATGTGACATGTCCGTCATTCACTAGATCTCTTGTTTATCATCGTTTTTTTCCGAAATATTGTGGTAACTATGCAAAACTTTTTGATCAAGAAATATCAACCATTCCATATTTCCTTCGCACGAATATCGTGCATGTGATCACTAGAGCATAACCAAATAACTGAAGAATATTGAAGTTAAGGATAGAGACATACATAAGGAACGTACATTTATCACTTTATGGCTGAGATATCATTCGTGTTAGATTACTGTTTTCTTTTGATGTACAATGGTGATGAAAACAAAATTCTGTGAAAATGTCACAATGCCCCAGCTCAGGAATTTAGTGAATATTAGCTTTGATTCTTGAGCATATCTATGGGCTGTCTAGTTGGTGTCTATACTATGATAATAGTCGATTATCGATGATTTAGATATTACGTGTACAGACTCATTCTTATATTACATTTTCACCTATATTTTTGGTTTTCTACAAGATAAGCAAAATATTACTTTATGTCACTTGATCCGTCTATTTTTGTTTCGTTGAAAATGGTTTTAACTTACTGTTATCTTGATTATTATTGTTTTACTCTTTTTAAACATTTAATTAAATTTAGTCAAACAACAATTTATTTCATTCAGTTTGATCCACTGATAAAATTTAAAAGTATGTACAAGATTCGCAGAATAAAATAAATTCGTTATATTTTGAGGCCTCTCATCAACTTTTATAATTGTATACAAAGTTTTGCACATCTTAATCAACGATGACTAATCTTACAAAATAGCACAGAAATACATATCAAACAGGAAGAAGATACAAATCATTTTACAAACTAGTTAAGATTGATGAATATTTATGTGTTGGAAATGAATTTATACAAAGGAAGGGAATGATATAATAATTATCGATAAAGAGATAAAATGAATTTTAATTTTTGTTACCAAATGAGTAAGGAATATACAATCAAGCCACCTAGTTCGTATAAAATTCAAATTACCGTCCGTTAGTAAATAAATACCAGAGGATTGTTGTGGTTGTTCGTTTGTCACTAGTTTTCTTATAATGTTCACAATCTGTCTATTTTTTTTCATGACTTCAAATTAATAATTAGTAAATGACGAAAGTGATATCGAGTTTTTATCTTTCTAAACAACATACTGGCTTATCAGTATCGTTACCAAGGTTTGACTTGATAATTTCGAATAAATTGAGCATTGGGTAGATTGTTGTGTGTAAATTAATATATTTGTAAAATCCTAATGAGTAGAAAAATTAAATTTTCTAATGTTTTGTGACTCTGTGTAAGCCACTTCTTCAGAGAATAAGTAAAAAACATTTTATTTCTTCTCCGAAGAAGTGGCTTACACTGAGTCACGAAACGTCAGAAAATTTAATTTTTTTACTCATTGGAATTTCACAAATATATCAATTTGTTTATAACATATTAGCTTACTTGTAATTTACATTTTTTACATCGTTTTATTGGTTAAAATATCATTTATTAATACGAAAAAGTTATCTATTCATTTTTTTCAAATTCCCCCTTAGATTATAAGTTTAAATCAAACTTCATTAGTTTTTCATACATAATTTCATCACCATATCTTTCTTTGTTTTTCTTTTTTAAACTTCTTTGAAAAAATATTTGAATAGTTTATCTATTTAGGTGACTCAGTCAGTAGTTATATTCAAGTTCGTGGTACAGTTCCATTATTTTGGGAGCAACCAGGTTTACAAGTTGGTTCACATAAAATTTCACTTAGTCGACCGTTAGAAATATCAATGAGTGCATTCGAACGTCATTTTATGAATTTAATATCACAATATGGATCAGTTGGTGTTGTTAATTTGTTAGGTTGTAAACAAGGCGAAGCAATGCTTAGTAAAGCCTATCAGGAACAACATAGAAAATCGTCTTTTCGAGTATGTTTTTTTTTCATGATAGTTCATACTTTTTTATAAATATTTTATTTATAATGAATGGATTAATACAGAAATTTCCTGATTACTAGCTTAAATCGAGTTAATAACAGTTTAAAGTAGAAAAAACTAAATAGTTATTGATCGTTATTTGTAAGGGATTGTTAATATTCAAGACTGAGTTTGATCTGTTTTGAAGATTACATTCTGCTGAATAGTTCTAAATATCAGAAAACATGCATTCTGGATTTAATTACTGACCATTATTCAAATATAATCGGATTTAAAGTGGAGCTTGTTTAGAATCTCCTATCCAATAATATGATATTACCAATCTTTTTTTAGAAGGATCTACACTTTTTGTTTTGACTAACAATTGACAGATATTTTAATAATGATAAACAATCATACATGACATATCCAACAATTTTTATCGTCAGAGAGTTTATATTTAGGAATTGTTGACTACAGTTTGTAACAGTATCCTTAATTGTATCAGGTTATTTTAATATAAACAGAAGGATATAGGGACTAAATTTTTCTAACTACTCTATGTGGATTGATTCCATCATCAATATCATTTGTTTAATAATAAATTTAATGTTGTTTTTGCCATAAATGGTCTTGTTTTTATCTACTTTTTTTACTTAATCTAAATTTTTGTCACGTCATTAATCAATCATAGATATTTCGTTACATCCTAATTGCACCACCGTGGTTAAAAATGAATAAAACGAAGCATTGATTATAATGAGATGAATTTTCATACCATAATGCATATAAATTAATGTACGTTTATAGAGTTTTTTCTACATTACTTCCTTTCATTTGTTCTTTTTCCAATGTCACTTGTTTGGTGTACCTCATTGTTGAAAAAAAGAATACTATCCACCATATTATATTTGATTATCATTCGGAATTACAATCGAAAGGTGCAAAAAGTTTAGAATGGATAAATCAACAGATCAGTCGGTTAATTGATGATTGGGGATATTTCTATGCAAATGGTCAACAGGTAGAATTATGTCAAACTGGAGTGGTAAGTATTCCAGCCTTTTTCTATTCTCGTTATTGACTTCTTTGCATAAACCTTATAAATCATATCTTTGCTTCCTAGATATTAACGGAATAATAAAAGTTTTGGGCTCGATCTTGTGTGACGACATCCTTAATTAACCATACGATTGACACAATCGTGGAGTAATGGCTTAACAGTCATAGTGTGGTGTGGGTTACTTATATCCACACAAGCGGTGGGACGTGAGGATGCTGGGTGGACATCGAATGTAGATGGCTCAGCAGGAGCGCAGGCGTCGGATGTTGATGCCCCGGCAGCTCGACGGAGCTATGGAGGTCAGCGCGCCGCAGACTCGACACTTTGACGGAGAGTGTGGCATAGACTTCATAGAAGAAGAAAGTGGCACGGCGAGCAGAGCCACCTCAAGAAAGGATGCTTTAAAGGGGGGACGAGTGTGGTGTAGGTTACTTATATCCACACAAGTAGTATATAACTGTGGTCAGACATAAAATGTATTTCAGCAGAAGATCGATAAGGAAAGAACGGAAATGGTACGCAGGTGGTATGAAAATGTATTCGCAATGAAATCTGAGACAATGGACTGACATTTGCAAAAGGAACAGTGAAGTTTAAGACGATGGACTGATATTTTGCAAACTAACTATTTACTATATGGTTCTCAGATTTTAGCGAGATGCTCTGTAATTTAGTGTCAAATACATTCGATTGTCCCCACTTGTGTTGTTATTCGCTACAATAGTACTTTAATTATAATCACTAATGTGTAGATTTAAATTCACTTCTATTTATTTATATTTAGACAGAAAAGTAGATTCACTGGCTTTGTTACGTAAAGTATAACTCATGTGTACTGGTGTGAACGTAAATGTAAAATTAATAGCAAATAAATTGTTCGGTTAGCATAATTAAAGTGACACCACATCAATGTATTTTTAATTGTAAAAGACTGAACATGCAGTATACTTACACATGAATTTATAATATAACCATATAATGTATTACCTATCAAACGAAAGATAATTTCAATTAATATAGTTAAATTTGATTTTACTCTTCATTTCTTCGTATACTATTATCACTCTGCTTTACACTTTGTGTTGCGTAACCTGGTATGTTATATGTACTGAGCTTTCCCACTGAAGTAACGATGGAAACAGAATTATCTTGAGACTCGTAACCTAGATGTGCTGGGATTCTTTAGTTTATATTTACTTAGGAACTTAGGTTCAGTGCCTGTTACCTTAAAAACTAACACTATCTATTAAAGTAGTGAATTCATCTAGACACTAATTTATTCAACGGATATAAAGTTCTTAATAAGGATTTATATTTTTCCTACTGTTGATATTCAGAACTGCAATTTATCATCTAACTGAAAAATATGATCAGTTTCTGTTTGGATATGAACATCTTGGGCGGATCTATCAATATTGTCTGTAATTACAAACCTTTACTTATAATTTTCTGTTCTTAGATTTTACAGGAATTATCTGATCAACCTTTGTTGATAGATCGACTTCATGTAAGGATTTCTTCACACTATAAGTTACTACGTCTTGATTATACTAATTTTCTATCTCCCTGCATTTGATATGAAGATTAAAAAATAGTGAGTTTGACGCACTATGATTAATTTCTTGGGATAATGTGAAATCTGTGGCCAAAAACAATTTTAGGATTAATAACTGGTTTTTCCGTTCGAATTTTCAAACATTTTGTGTACTTATGGCTTTCTGGCGTAACTTAAAACATCATTCTGTTCTCGATCTTGTCTCTGTGTTTTATTTGGAGAAGTAGCAATTTAAAATCGCTATACTATTGTACCATCTCTATCATCCCAGTTAATAAGTCAAACGTTCTTGTCGAAATTGTACTTAATTTAGGGTACATTGGAATTTGATTGTTTTTTTCTCGATTTTTGTATTGAACCACTATAATATAGATTTCAAAACATAACCAACCAATGTGTACGGACTTGTTTTATTTTGTATCTGAATCATTGTTTTTCAATGTAAACATAATTTCCGATGAACATTTAACTATTTATCTCTACTGATTGTGTGTGTTTCAGTTAACACAGATTGGACTACCTTTCTTAGTGTTATTTGTTTTATATGATGATCTCTACATGGTTCTGTTTTCAATACTGTATATAATATAAATATTTTGGCTGATTGTAATACTTTTAGACCCATTAATTTTTTTGTTTTTGGAAAATTTCCCTCTGTTATTTTACATGTAAGTGAGTATCGGGGTTGTTACATGAACAGTAATGCAGTACATAGAGCACGTAACCATCCATTATACGTTTGACTTTGACCCTTTATATTTCAGTCTAAACAGCTGGTTAGTATCACTAGTCCTCACTTAAAAGAGTAGTTTCAAGCCGGTTACGTAAATTTGAACTTTGTTGATTGATCGTACAAACCATATTGTTCATTGATAACAATTTCTATTAAGTGCCTTTCAGTATCAAGGGTCTCTGAATTAATTTTATAAGCTGAACCTAATAACACGGATTAGATGAGTTCTTGATTATTTTCCTACCCGACTGTATTTATTACTATTGATAATATTATATTTATTCTTCATTAGTAAATCTGTAACTTGTGGACAAGAATAGTAGCGTTATATCCTTCTAACGGACACCATCTACTGATAACAACTTCTCATGAGTACTCACATTATTGCATGAATCCAACTATGGAAACCTAAGCAGCTTAATCTTGTACAGGATCCTTTTCATAATCAAACTGTGTGCTAGTGTCATGTGTAAGCTGTCATCATATTACGACTCGAATACGTAATTTTTCCATAATACAACGTTTAAAACAAACTTTTAGGTTTTACATTTTTCTCATTGTTGTCACAAACATCTCATCCATATTTAGGTTTTGTGGTAATTAGGTGGATTTAATTTGTGATCTTGTAAAACTGTTCACAGTGTTTTAATCGACGTTCCATCACGTGCTTCGATAAATCTGTATGATAACATTCAGTAGCTGTCAACTGTTGTGTATTGCGATCATTACTTTGATCGTCGAATAATATCTTGATCAATTTGTGTTTGGGTTTTTTTCACTCTCCATCGTGCTATGAGCCTTTTAGAATAAAACTTTATGTATCACTCAGTTCATACCGTGTTACGGATGAAGGGTTTTCTACCGAGTATCGAGCACGTCTTATTTGATAGTGCTCGATTTTTGCCTCCATTTATTTACAGGCAGATACACTAGGATGATAAGTCCTTCCACTTTAACGCTTAGGCACCGACTTCCTAGTTGCTTCGTAGTCTTCATAAGTCTTCTACTCTTGAACGCTCAACAGGAAGATGGAGTCCGAACGTTTAGAAGTAGTTTTATTTCGTCAATTTATATGTGCGCAAAACAAGAGGTCATTGATACGTTTAAATCTGACCCTGAGGTTCTAAGCGCTTCTGAAGTCGGTAACTATCGAATTTATTTATTTAAGTAAAAATTAAAAAAAATGAATTCGATAGTTATCCAGTCAGGATGAGAAAAGATAACCAGTTTTCTAGGTTTCACATAAAAGCTTTCTAAGTGCTAGTTGCTCAAAGTATTCTCGGGTGTTTTTCTGGTTTCTGAAGGTTTTTTCAAAAAAAAATTGGTTTAGGATTCTAACATAGGACTAATGCTTTGTGAGAGACGAAACAGTAGTTCAAGATAAAGCTGCAATGTCGTGCTGAATCATCTTTATGAAAACAAAATAAATTTATCAAATCAAGTTAACAGAACCCCTAAATTGGGATATTTTAGAAAATATATTTTGAATAAAATGATTACGATATAGTTATACCTTAATAGAGTTTTGCGCATAACCATTGCTTGGTTGCGAAGAATGACTTTATATTTCGAAAATATTGAATTTATTGTTATGACTTAGCTGTATTAATCGCATAATGCATAGGATTTTCATCAATCTTAAAGTCTTTATCAGTAATGTTTACATTCGCACGTCTAATAGTGATTGTTCAGTGTTGATAAAATAAGCTTAAATTACTAATAATACTTCGAACGATAATCAAACTCAGTAACTAAGTTTATTTGTAAGGTATAATATTACGTAATAACCACATGTCGGAACTAGTAGATTGACACCGATCCAATCTCTTACCCAATGATTACAGCTCCATTAAGTCTGTTAGTTCACAATATTTCACTGATGACTCCGCAGTTCTAATTGTTTTCTTTTCTAAAAATGTATTTAAATACAATTTAGTTAGCTCAGTAAAATGATGATAATCCGGTGACGCAAAAACGTTTTTTAAAATTTATATTTCTTTATTCTTTATCGTATTTGATGTTCAGTAACGATGTGCTACGTGTTAATCATTCCAAACTGACATAGAAGAAAACAAGTTCGTCTACAGTAAAAGAAAGAGACAACATATTTAACATAATTGTTATATTCCTACCTTATTTGCATATATGAATTTTTTTATCGTTGGAATAATGGCGCTTACAATAACCTGTACTAATGAAAACAGTGTATAAAATATTGAATATTAGTGTTACATGGTTTCAATGAATTATTTGAATATACTTTCTTAAATAGTACTAGCTGAATAATTGATAAATATAAGAATAAGTCTATCAGTTATTCGACAGATTTAAACGTCTGAAATGTGTGCGTATTTGTTTTAACTCATTTTTCAATCATAAGTTTATGTACTAAGCTTTAGGCCATAACTTTTTTAAGGAAAGGCTTTTGATACTTCTCAGTACAAACTAAAGTTGAGGAAGCTGGGTTCGAACTTGTAACTCGTTAGATGAAAACTGAATGCTTTAATCACTCACTCTAGTGGTTTTTTTCATGATTGAAATTGAGTGGAGTTTTAGCACGATAGTGTGCTTCATTTTCAGTATCTTGATAGTATGGAGTCGCTGTTTAGGTTACTGAATATATAGCGTTGCAAATTTAAAATACTTATGTAATTGTTACTTAACCATAGTATACAAAATTTTATTTGTATATCTGGTTGTATGGTGTCTTAGTGGTACACGTTTTTCATCGTGCAAACGACCACTTTTTGAAGTTCTTGCTCGTTTTCTTTATTTAAGGTCACTTAACGGATGTTTCAACTTGCTAGTTAGTTCTGCAACTACACAGGACATATGTACTTGCTACATTCGGTGTTCTTAACTTCACACGGTTCAAGTTTGAATCGGATTCCAGATAACTTTACTGTTGTTTTGTGCTTGATTTCAGAGACCTCATAAGGAGTTATTGCGAATAATAATAATAACAATAATAATAATATCACTTAATAGAGAGTTCAGTCTTTTTAGTGTTTCAATGTGTACTGAAACTAAAACTATTATCTATACACATTGTTCAACATGATTATGGCAGCAAACAAGTCATGTGATTGTCAGGAATTGTTACTTATGATGAATACAGAAGTGACATGTTTTTCTGGATGCTTGCTTGTATAAAAATTGTAGCATACTATGTGGACTTCTTGTTACGTATCTCATTGGTTAACATTATCATTAATCTGTGTTCAAAGTTTTTCTTGAATACCAGATAATTGTCATACTCTTAAAATTGAGATCAACATTCACTTCATGAAAAAGTATTGCTAAACATTGATTACATTTACAAGATGTTATAAAAATAACAAGTAGATCTACGTTTTTCTCTAAACGACACTTGTTTTCTATGATGTCTGTACAATTTCATAATATCCATCTATTTAATGTAAATAATCTAGGGTGTAAAATTGTCCACAATACTTTAATACTTAAAAATTCATACATAAGTACTAGGAAGCTTTTATAGTGGAAGTGCACTACAACTTCATTTGGCTCTGTGGAAGCTTAGTATCAAATATAAATATGAAATCTTTTTTAAACACATAATAGTCTTAACAATATTTTATTTACGGATATTGAGTTGAATTTCTAAGTAGTTTCATTTATTCTTACACTTCACAGTCTTTCATGATGATGAACTTCATTCTGATACACAATTTTATCGTCTTAATTACTTATTTTGATTTCTTCCGTTAATCTTTTTTTTCTATATACTTAGTAGAAATTTTGTTTTTAAATAGAAAACTGAGGTTTCTTTGCATTGTTTAATCTGTTTTGTTTTGTTTTTCTAGCTTAGAATAAATTGTGTAGACTGTTTAGATAGAACAAATGCAATTGAAACACTTGTCGGTGTTCAAATAATTCTTCCTAAAATGTTAATGAGCCTTGGTGTAAATGTTAAAGATCAACATAATGTGATAAGTCGTTTTGTTGATGGAATAAAGCAGGTGAATTTATTCGTTCGTGTTGCTTTCATGAATTTTATTTTATCATTATTTTTACCAGTGTATTCAAATAGATCATTGGTGTTTTTAAAACCAATGAATTATTCAGTCTTGAGAATAAGTATTTAGTTTATAGTCAAGAATGTATATAATATTTGATTAGTTGGAAAACATACATTCAGAGGATTGTTTTGTTGGATATAGTAAATATAATTCTGTTTCTAATAGTAATGGATGAGGTGTATAGACTCTAATATAGGTAGACCAATTCACAAAACCAAAGTTTCAAATAAATCAAATCCAGGATTTAATCATTTTCTTTTTGACATTGACTTTAAATAAGCCTAGTAAAATAGCTAGTACTGTTTATTAAGGAGTTGATTATGATCGACTGTCATCAGTTAATAATTTTTTCTCCTAAAAAGAAGATGCCTATGTTTATTGATTCACTGAACGATACACGTTTCTTTGAACCGATGGAGTGTACCCCTAATGAAATTACTCCACCAACTAATAATAATAATCGGAGAAATGTATTAACGTTAGTGTTATACTATTTCGACTTGGTATTTCAATATTCGTTAGGTTTTTACTTATTGGTAGTTCTTTTCTACTTGTTAAGTGAACATGTATGCATGTAGTATGCATGTCAATGAAAATATGTTCAAAGGAAAACAATATAAAATCTATGTATATATAATTAAAACGTCTTTTTTTAATGTGGATTCATTAAAAGTTAATTATTATGTTAGAAACACTTTAGCAGATGTTGATATAAAATATTCGTTCAAGTTGAACAATTTAAAAATGCTGTACATATTTTATCACTAATAGAATAACGTTGATCTTTGAAGACATCGTTTTACTTGTGCCGAAAAATATAATACTATGGTGTGTGCTACTTATGCGAACATACATAAGTAGTATGTAGCAGGGATCGGAAGTAGAATACCTGCTAGCATAAGAGTGAAATAAAATGAAGAGGAAGGAAAACGAACAGCAATCAGAATAATAGCAGGATCGAAAGAAGTATGTAAATAACAAATGAAGGAAGATATGCAAATTATATATTTAATGTGTGATTTCCATATTTTACAAAGGTTTTATGTAATTTTGCATAGAACAATAAATTGATTTTCTTCACCAAGTGATCATTCACTACAATACCAGTATGTAGACAATATCTAACTCGTTTTTCGGACTATCTCAGCTAGTGTTTTATAAACTTTATAACTATGTGACTAAGTACAAATTCGTGTATTCGATTTTCAACTACGCTGGTTTTGTGAATGCTAGTGATAATACTCATTTTTTAAAATCAAAGTAGGCGAAATGCAGTTTAAACTTGAGACCAATTTGTTGTACGTCATATGTCTTAATCACTAAGCCATTACCTTATTAAGAGAGTGTAGAATTCTGAATCACAAATCAGTGGTTATTTAGTTTAAAATTCGTCACGATGGCACATATATATCCACTGTTTATCCTCCTTGTCAAAAAACGAATGAAATGACAACGGTTTAAAAATGAATATTAACCTTTTAATTTAAGAAACATAACTAACCATCCAGGGTTTTTTCCCCAATGTTATAATTGTATGGATAAATTGTTGAACGCACTTTACTACTGTTGTCATATATTGAATTGTAAGTAGGTGTGAGAGAGTAGTTTACTATGTTTTTGGAGTTATCAGTATGATGAGATCTATTTTATCTTGCTTACTTCAATCACTTCATGGATCTGATGATTTTTTCAAGTAATTTATGAGAATAAACAATCATCAAGTCATCCTTTTCAACTTGATCACGCATCTTTTGTCTGAAATTATCGTGTAACGGAGAGACAATTATGCCTCTGTCTACCATATAGTTTCGATTGGCTAGAATTTAGAAGAAATAATTATGTTTAGTAATGTTTTGGTGGAATTTCAGAAAACAAGTGCTGTTGAAACACATGATATTCGTCACTATGCTCGTTGATTAGATTGAAGTCAACACCTTATTAGCAATCAGGTCTCATGTCCTTTCTTAATAAGCATTAGAAACATAACTCTCAGGCTTATAGTAACTGCCTTATTATTGTTCACTCGATCTTCAATGTGAGTTTATTTCGTGAAGGGATTTATTTTCTCATTAAATTCATTGGAATATAGTTAAATTCTGCCACATATTTAGGATATTTTTCTTCCATAAAATTAGCCTTTACTACTCTTTCATATATTTTATATTATGCCATAGTTATGGCAACAAAATGGTGATCATGTAAGTCGTATATACGCCGGAACTGGTGCTTTAGGTAGTGGTCGGTCAAAACTACGTGATGCTCAACGTACAGCTGTTCGAACGATTCAGCATAGTTTCTTCGATAGTGCAAAACAAGAAGCTATGCATATGTTGTTGTCCAATTCCAGTTTACAAGGATGGATGAAACTTGTCGGAGGTTTGTTTATTTTATATGATTGCTTGATTCATGTTCCATTTTTGATGCAATTAACTTAACAATTAAATAGTGTTTTATGGATTATAAGCCATTCTGTATTGTGGTAGCATTCGATTGCTCAAATCGAAGTAAAACTATTGGTAATTTTTTTCGTTTTAAGTGATTAAAGCTTTGGAATCATTCATTGTTAAATAGTTAATATCAATGTATTACTGAATAATATTATCAGTAAGCTGACGATTTATTCTAGAGGTATGACATCTGTTGATAAAGTTAGGTTTATAGGATATCTACCGGCTTTATCCAATGTTTATTCCCATAAGCCAATATTTGTTTGTATATCGTCAGCCATAGGAAATTTTATACAACTTACTTTAGCAGTTAGCTGGTATTTTTAATATTCACTTTTGTTCAGAATTGATATTGACTTATGCTTTATTTATTTATTTAAACCCATAAACATTGGTACAAGGAGGCACCAAACACATTTGCGTCACACAAATCATTCGATTTATGTGGGGGCTGAGATACTGCCCGGGTGCCCAGACCAAAGCAGGTGGTTTCCTTAGGGGGCCGTGCCCGCAACCTTCGACCTAAAGATCTGATCCATAAGGCAATGAAGCGACATCAGGAGATGCAGTCACATGGTAGCCGGTGACCAATAATTGGCTCATACGCCATTTTCCTCTCAGGATCCTGGAGCCCATGTACATCATTGATTTGGAATCAGGGTTTTCTAACTCCCGTAGGTGGATCCTCCATATCCACCGACCCGGTTAAAGCTGCGGACATTCGCTTTTGGTCCTCTCAATTTCGTAAACAGTGCCTCAGCTACGAGAAGGCAGTGAATAGGACTTCCCTGGGAGTGGCTGTATACACGTGGCCATGTGAGAGCATTTCGAGAGGGAGAGTTGACTCTCCTTACTCTCGATCGTACCAGGGAATTTGGTGGCTTAGAGACTTTATATTGCAATCAGTTGTACTTCATCAGAATTAGGAATTTTGCATGAATATTATTTTATATTACTAGACAATTATTTTCATTTACAAAGAATAATGGTTGAAGTCGAAAAGGTATTCACTTAGTGGTTTGATTCAAATTCTTCACTTTTTTATCTAAACTGTAACTTAAGACCAAGCGACTGATTTTTAAGATTCACTTTTGAATTAGGTCTAAATCTTACTTTCATAGGTTGGTGTTTATGTTTATCCGTCGTGTGAATGCTTTTTTTCGGAATTCCTCACTTTATACAGTAGAGATTGAACGCTTGTTATTTCTACGATGGATACGAGACTTGCGTAATAGTTACAAGTTGATAACTAAACCTCAAGTCACGTGTAACACTAAGTGTTTAGTAAAATAAGAGTAGTTTTCTATAAGAAAGCTCCTACTAAATGAAGAAGATTGAAGGTCATTACGCAATATGTCTATACATATAATTGATAACCGGTTTTGAGCAGGAGAGAACGAAAAAATCATTCTATTATTCATTGTTTACAAATAAAGCGGTATAAACATTATTATTATTTTTTAGAAAATAATTTTGTTTTGCTTTTGTTATATTTTTTATATTTTGTAAAATAGAACAATATCTACCTAGACGATTACTTCATTCAACACCTATACTGTTGACTAATATTTTACATCGATATCCAGAATTTATTCAAATTCACAATCTACGCTTATTTGTTGGTACATGGAATGTAAACGGTGGTAAACATTTTCGTAGTGTTGCTCATAAGCATGAATGTGTTACCGATTGGTTGCTTGATTTAGCACAAACTATTAATCAAAAAGTCAATTGGGGTTATAAAAGCCCTGATTTTACTGATTCAGATGAATTAAATAAACCAATGGATGTATTTGCTATTGGTTTTGAAGAAATTGTTGATTTAACTACATCAAATATTGTTGCCGGTTCCAAACCGTCAGCTAATCAACGTGATTGGGGTCAGTTCTTACAACGCCATTTAAATCGCGATACTGATGAACAAGATTCCTATCTACTAATTACATCAGTCCAATTAGTAGGTGTATGTTTATTTTTATTTGTTCGTAAACGTCTTGCTGGTTCACTTAGAAATATTGCCACTTCATCAGTTAAAACTGGACTGGGTGGAACTGCAGGAAATAAAGGGGCTGTAGCAATACGATTTCAAGTAAGTGCTGAATTCTGTACTTCTGATCTTGTCCGCTTGTGGTAGTAATTATTACTTATCAAAGAACAACCAAGTAAATATTTCAGTAATTATTTCTTTGTAATAATATTCAGATTGTCAAATGCTTTTTTTCTAACAGGTGTCCAGTCTTTTCATTACACAGCAACAGTGTAATGGTTTTTGGTATGTATCAGCTTATTTTAATAATAAAAGTTCCCCTCATAGTATGCAAATACATCTGTCATCTTTAAAGGTATCTGCCTTTGTAAAAATAATTCAGATAGACAGCACATTTGTACATAATTAGGGTTTTTTCACAAACTTGTAGTTTAATGACATTATATCTTACATTTTACTCTTAATATTATAGACTTGCCTTACTAATGAGTGTCAATCAATCCGTAGCTCAACTCCAATGACTTCTTGCTGATTACCTCCTAACGTCGTAATCGACGATACAGAGTCACTTGCTTTAACTAGTACATTGTAATTTGATCGGTCGGATACAACCAACATTCAAGACTTGAACACAATGCTCTGTTCACTACTTAATAACCAACTGTTGTAATTATTTCTCACTTGAATCTAAAGTAATAATTATATTATCAACAATCAAGTGAAGCTGTTAATGTAATTACAACTAAATTACATGAAGTTGTTGTTATGATAGAAAAATTAAAGCATCACAATGCAATCCACATACCTTTTGGTACTGTTCTCGACTTGATGTTAACTTCACTGTGTTATTATGTAATTCGCCTCTATTAAAGATATATCACTTAGATATACAGTATCTTCGTCGCTCAATAATTTAAACGTTGACAATGTTAACTAATTTTTGTGCGTGATGGTAAGTTATTTAATGATAAGAATTCTTTTGGGAAACCACCACTCATATCACGTCTACCTATGTAATCCGAAAATCCTAGAATGCTAAACGAAGGCCTAACATTTTGATCTATTACTGTATTTTTCGTCTTCTTCAAAGAACATTTCTGTCCGTTGTAGTCCTGACCTTCCTACTCTAATCATTATCCTTTGTCAATATAAAAAATACAGCCACACAGATCTACGTTGTTTAAATTTCAACTGTTTAATTGATGTAGTGCGTAGTACTAGGGAAAACAACTTTCTACTAATGTCCAGTTTTTTTTCCGTGGTAACACTGCTTCATCGAAGTAACTTGAAGGATTTTAGTGGCTCGTAATCTGACTTCATTTGTTATCGTATGAATGGTTGTTATGGAAATATACATGTACCCAGTTCTCATATATAATCATCGACCTAAATCGCACTAGTGAATAACGGAATTAAATAAGCCAAATACATAAATGGATTTTAAAATGCGTATATTTTGTACAATCGTTGATCGTCTAACGAAGCAAAACAAAGTGACGCTCAACAGAAAAGGCGAGCATGTCAACTCTATTCGACCAAACGTGAATCAATATTTAAAGTCAGACGAAAATAAGTTAGACATGTGATAAGTAGGATAAGCAGTGCACACACATAGCTCATATAATAACAGTCAAAGTTGATAAGCGAATAAGTGATAAAGTCAAAATGTAGCTTGAAACGAATGGATAAATTGGTTTGTCCAGAAGCTATAATGACCTACGTGGGCTTGACATAGGACCAGCCAAAACAGGGCAACTAAAGTAAGTCAGAACTTACTTGTCAACTAATTTGAATGGTTTTCTGGTAAACTCAATGTCTCCTCTTTACAGATTAAACATATTAAATCACCAGACGAGTTAAATAAATTTCATCATCCTTTTCAATACTGTATTTCAATCTTTTGTAAATTTGTTATGAGGCATTTCGACTAACCCATCTATCTTTAATTTTGTTTATAAACGTACTGAAAGATTGTAATGTATACATAAACATAAAGTAGAAATTTCGTTTCTATCGATTAATTATTGAGAATCAAAATTTCCCCTTATGTCATGTGAGTTATTCACTTATCACGTGTTCTTGTGTCACTATAATAATAGCTATTTCTGTCTGTCCGTCCATCTTTTTACCTGTCTATTAAAATCCGTTCTCCTTTGCATTATCCTCTTTTTCGAAAAAAAACTATTTTTCAATTTTCTTATCGATGTGATGTAGGCGTTGGCTATTTCAGAAGTGTATTGTGTGTTTGTTTCTCGATTATTGATCGGTTTACCCTTCGATGCAAACTTTATATTCGTCAACATTCCTACTTTCATTTTTCTCTAGCAGTTGTACCTACTCATGAGTAGTTAGTTCAGAGTATCCAATATATTTTTAATTACCTCATCGAAGTCATTCATACTCTAGTCAATCGGATCGTAATCTTTGTTTTATCAAAGTAATCGAACCGAGTATCGAACAATGCCGGATAAACTTCTTGAGCTTCCCTAATCAGATGTATGTTATCATAAAATTCTCTGGTTAGTAATGAGTACCTTGGTTTACAAACGTTTATTTGTCTGTGAAATAAAGAGTAGAATCTGTTATTGACGCGTATACAAGATGGTATTAATCAGTTTAATATTGACTGCATTTTCTAACTGATGTAGGATAATTTCCTGATTAATCAGTAAAGCATGCTCAATAAACGATGTTTCCCATATATAGCCTCAAATATCTTGGTACGACTGAGGATGGGGAGGCGAATCATATATCAGAAGTGCTACTACTTATATTGTATTCTACTAGTTAGAGATAATTAAACTCTATGGATGATAAATGTCTTGTGAATCTCCAACTCAGGTTTCGTAATGTTGGTTGTCACCGCATCGCTTGTATGCAAATCACTAAGACACCGTAGTACAGTAGTCGGTCAGGTATCTAGCAGATGATTGGAAACTTTCTTTTACTTATAATACGACTAGCCTCGTTTCGATATACATGTATCAAAATTGCTGAGAAACAGAGTAGCTAAAACATGTTAAATTGTGTTCGCGGTAACAATTCACATTTTTATTTAGCGATTCATTTCGTTCAATTCAATAAATCTATGTGTGAGTATCTAAAGAATATTTTTCTGGTTTGTATATAATTGAAAAGTAGTATTGCACGTAACTTTGATCGGTCATTATCACTACCTGTTACTCTTTACGATGAGTTATGCTATTTTACTGGACAATTTGTGTATGTATCTGTACTTGACTCAGTTTTAATCTGAAAGTCTCAACTCTTAAGCGACTAATTCCATTTATTTTGCCAAATGTAAATATTGTTAACACCTAAGAGAATATTGTAGTTTACGTCATAGGTTAATTTAAGTCAAACAACCATTAAAAACTGAGAAGCGACGGGCATCTATTTTATTTTAGTACATGACTCCCCAACTGTGAGAATCATCGCCATTACTGAAGGTCGAACCGTGAACCTTGAATTCTCATGGAGGGTTTTAACCTTTTGATCACTTAGTAGACATCAAATAGTTTACATATCTAATTTTAATCATTTCGCGACATTGAGTAAGCATCTTTCAATGCCATCGGTGGTTATCTGTCTCACATCCGATATGGTTGAACTCTATTCCACTAAAACTTAAAGATTTATAGAGTATTTGAATGGATAAAAGGATTGTATGAACCTACTCGCGAAAAGAAATCATTAAAAAACAAGTTTACTGATGCAAATCAAATTGCAGCGTCGTGAGTTGTAAATAGTTCAAACTTGGGTTTTACTCCCAATTCATTATTTTTTTTACTAGTAATAAATACTATTGATAGTGTTTTTTCTAAAAAGAAATTTTGCTTACTTGGTATCTGGAGTATAATATTTTATTTGAACTAAGATTAAACAGTAATTTATTATAGTGTATTTCAGTCAATTTTTTAACTGTATAAAATATATGGATTCTAGGTAACAAGTTATTTCGTTTTCGTACTCTCTAAATAAGTAACGTAACATTAAAAGAGTTCACTCTCTATATTCCCCCAAAAGAAAATACATAATGTTTATGCGCTGTGCTTTGTTCATAGTTTTACAGATTTCACACTATAGTATGAATCATCAATTGATTTAGGAATTCGGTACGCAATTAATTGCCAACACGTCTTACCAAATGTTAAGTTTGATTAAACCGTTTACCCACTTCTAATCGCTGTATTTTGTTTTTAACTTATAGTCTTCATTCACTGGGTTGTATTATGTATATCACGTTATACTACTTAATAATATTCAGTAAGTAACTTCATTTCTGTTAATTTTCGGAGATGGTGCTTAACGCTCCTTGTTGTTTTAGGGCTTTGGTAAGTTTTTACCTGAACTTTTCCCGTTCCTTTTATTCATTATTGTAGTTGTAAATCTTCAGCAGTTGTAACGGCCGATTCTTATTTTGAATCATTGATTGAATGTTCATTGAATTCTAACTTTTTTTATGTTTTGAGTTTCACGTCTCTGTTTCAATTATTTTTTTCCATTACCTTTTTATGCACAGCTGGTTACTTAGTAGCCCATCGTATGCCTTCTCGATGTAACTATTTTAGTAGGTGCTTTTTCTGTCATTGTATATTGACATGAGAAGTACCTTAGATGCTTCAGAAATCGAGGTTCTTGTTGTCGTGCATATATTTTTATGATAATAATACAGTATTTCAGAAAAGTCTTTTTTAATTTGTAACCTCTTCACGTGGTCAGAAGTTTTTTTTTCGAACTAACACTCCATTATGTTTTACGTTCCTTTTTTCATGGGTTACATTTTTTCGATATCTAGATCAAATTTATTTCTTAGTTTAAGTTATCGAGCAAGTTTACCTTCTAAGTTACCTTACTGGGTCACTGACTTATGACAACTATGCAAACTTATTAAGCATGTAGTTAGTCATTTAGAAAAGTCAAGTTGTACAATGTTAAATAATCAACGTCATAGTTTTAAGCTTTTTACTATGTTTGTAGCAGCAATCATGATGCTTAAAGATCTCTGGATTCCTCAGCTAACCAAGTTAAATCTATTCTATACTGTATACTGTATCAGGACATGGTGGCATATATTTATAATATTAGTCAATTAGAGATGTATAGCTTAACCATAGTCCGTTATTGCACTTTCCACTGGATATATCTAAAGTCTACTGGTCATAGGTTTTATGCAGTTAAAATTTAGGAATCCATTTGGTAAGCTTATAATTATTATCGAGGTGAAGTTTTGTTGCGATTGGGCTTTTTTGAAGTTAGTTCAAGTCATGATGAAAAGTATTTCTGATTATATTAACTCTCGACAATCTTCATCCTACTAAGGATTTAAAAAGAGAGGAATTTTGAAATCTACTTTCGGGATTGTTCATGTTTTCATAATTACGAATATTATACCAGTGTAAATAACCTAAGTTTATTTTACTTGAGTATAATATTCAGTTGTGCTACTACCTTTTAAAATAGTAGTTTGTCTTAGTAAGCTAAGGAATAATACTACTACTTATAAAAACTGCACCTAAATCCAGTATTTGATAGATAACAATTAGTGGTGTTTTGTTTTATCAGTTGAATGATTTGATAACAACAATGCTTTTACAGTCAAACCCTTTAACTCACAAACAAGTAACACTCAAAAAACAACCATTTAAGCTACACATTTTCGAAGTTAGTGCATAACATTTTTACAGTCTCATGTTTCTATCAATCATCATTTATGATACATAGTCAATGTCTACCAAAAATAATAAGCATAACAATTTATGCATTGACGTAAATAACGTTTGCTTGTTGCATAAACTTTCAGTTTAGAAAATCTTTCAAATTTACTAGTTGTTCAACATCTATGAACGATATTATTCGTTATTTGTTAAAAACCTAGATATTGACAGATTTAACGATAGTTTAAAATCTTCCCAAATTTATATTTGTATTTTTTGTTGACAACTTCGTTTTATAATGTAATTAATGAATTATTCTATTGAAGGTTCATCAGTAACTCTTAAATTTAGTTACATTAATGAATAAAATACATCAATCTTACATTGTTTCATTTCTTTATTGTAATTGATATATATTGTAAAGCTTTCATTTAACTCGTAAAGAAAGATTACGTGTTTTATTTTGTATAAAATTTATTTGAATTGATCTAATCGATGTTTTACACGTTGATGAGGTCATGCTTATGTATATTGATCATTATAAGTTGAGTTAATATCTCCAAGGTATATATGTATATACGTTGATAATAACCATTTTTTTCATGCATGATTATTGATTTCTGTACATATAGATTACTTTAAAGTGACAGATTAATTAAATGAAAAGTTTTCAATTTTTCAGCTGACCGCTAATGTAAATCTTTGAATCTTTTTTTTCTGTTTTGAAGAGGTACATTAAATGAATATTTTATTAATAATATTAAACATTAGTAATGTAATGTTAAGATAATTGAAACAAATCTCTATTGAACAATTTAACGAAATAATCAACATTCAGTTATGTAATTTTAGGGAATAATGCTGTCATTTAGCTTTGGTTTTATGTTTGTATACGAATGTGTAAATGTGTCTCATGTACGTCCATCCAGTTGATGACCCACCAAGCAATTGATTAGAAAGATATTCGTCCAATATGAAATATTACTCCTTCATTTGAAAAATTTTACATTTATGTTTAAACCTAATGTATTTCATGTTACTCCTGAAAACCACAACTTCAATTTTAGAAGTAATAAAGATAGTACAGTTAAACAAATGTAGTTTGTTTAAACTTTCATCAGCGCACATTTGAATCTTCTTTTTTTATCGAGCGTGAAAATTATGTTTTGACTAAACTTAATGTACATTAGTGTTACAAACAAAGGTGTGTATAGTTTATAAGACATTAACTGAGATAATGGTTGTTTTTCTAACCCCTTTATCTATCTTTTTATCTAGTTGGGTGCGACATCAATATGCTTTGTTTGCAGCCATTTTACAGCCGGTCAATCCGCTGTTCGTGAACGTAATGATGATTTTCAGGAGATTTGTCGTCGTCTTAGTTTACCTAATGGTCGTAATATTCTTAGTCATGATTATGTATTTTGGTGTGGAGACTTCAATTATCGTATTAATTTGTCAGGTAATGAGGTCAAACGGTTAACTGCACAATCTTCTTGGCTTGATCTCCTACGTTATGATCAGTTGACAATTGAGAAACTAGCTGGTAATGTTTTTCGTGGTTTTGAAGAAGGCCCCGTCCGATTTGCACCGACATACAAATATGATTTATTTTGTGATGACTATGATACATCTGAGAAAGCACGTTCGCCTGCATGGACTGATCGTATATTATGGCGTCGCGTAAAATTGACATTTCCTAAAACGGACGAAAATGGCATTGTTTGTATGCAAAATAATTCTCCAAGTATAAAATGGAATCCCGGTCGTTTGTTACTGTACAATCGGGCGGAGTTGAAAACAAGTGACCATCGACCCGTGGGAGCGATATTCAATATAGAAGTTCATGTGGTAGGTAAAATATGCAGAAATAAAATTACCGGCTGATATATATATATATATATATATATATATATATATATATATATATATATATATATAGTGTTGATTGTTCATTTGATTTATTTTCATTACACCAGCGCATATCAGGATGCCTGTTTATTCATCAATCAAAAAGTGGAAGGCCAATTAAACTTATCCTGGTTAACAACTTTTATTAGACGACTTAAAGGTTTGTGCCATGCTGTGATTTTATGTCGTATAACATAATTGGCACAAACGGTTGATTGGTTAATGATTGCGTCAATGAAAACGGTCATGGTGTAGTTTGTGCAGGTTGAAAGATTACATTTTTCAATTTGTCCGGGCCTCATTTGAAAAGGTCTTAAATAGACCAGATCGAAATATTATATGGTCCTCTTTTCTTATTCACTTACTCATGTTACCCCTTGTGGAAGAGCATAGACCGTCCACTAGCATTCTTTATCCAACTCTATCCTAGACGATACTTTCCAGTGCTTTCCAGTTGTTATTCATTCTTTACATATCTACTTCAAATCCACAAATCAGTGTGTTCTTTGGTTTTCTCTTTCTCGTTTCCCTTCAGGATTTCAAGTTAGCACTTGCATTATGATACAGTTTGATCATATCCGTATGTATGTCCTATACACTTCCAACGTCTTTTTAATAATCCCCTTTTCAGCTAGAAGTCAGTTTGTTTACCTTTACAGTAGGCTGTTGCTGATCGTATCCAGTCAACAAATATTGAGGATCTTTCGTAGACAATTATTGGTGCATACTTATACTTTTCTAATGATGGTTGTAGTAGTTCTGCAGGTTTAAGCTCCGTACAATATAATTCGCTGTCTTCACGTTTGTATTGAAGATTGTGAATTTGATATTGGTTTGTAGACAGTTGCTTTGAGTCCCACGTGTTCTTCAATTGTAGAAGTGCTGTCTCTGATTTGCCAATCGTCGCCTGTACGTCTGCATCTAATTCTCCTTGGTCATCGATGGTGTTGTCTAAGTACGTGAAAGTTTCCATCTCCCCTAGTGTTTCTTCATCAAGTGTGATTTTGTTGGTGTTCTTAGTGTTGTATTTAATGATCTTACTATTTCCCTTGTGTATGTGTAGGCCTACTGATGCAGAGACTGCTGCTACACTGTTTGTGTTCACCTGAATTTGTTGGTGTGTATTAGATGAGACGGATAGGTCATCTGCGAAGTCCAAATGGTCTAGTTGCATCCGACCTGTACATTTTATTTCGTGCTTCCCCCAGATGTGGAGGTTTTCATAGTTCAGTCAATCACCAGAAAAAAGAGGAAAGGTGGAAGTTATCATTCTTGTTTGACATTTTTTCACTTGGAATTTGTTTTTAGTTGTCCTGCTTGCACGATTTCACAATGTAGTGCGTTGTATGAATTCCGGATGGTGTTGACGACTGTCTTAGTTACTTCATAGTATCGAAGAAGCTTCAATGTGTCTCTCCTATCCACTCTGTCAAATGCCTTCTCACAATCAAGGACGTTTCTGCATAGTGACGAATTTCACTCAATTGATTGTTCAACGATGATCCGTAGTGTCGCGATTTGGTCTATGGAAGACTGATCCTCGAAGTTGGACGTCTACTGAATCTTTCATCCGGTTAAGCAACATTGTTTAAAACTCCTCCTAGTACCGGTAGTAATGTGATGCTTCTGTAGTTTCCTGATTCATTGAAATCTTCCTTTAGTATTCTGATGAGGTATCATTCTTCCCGGTCTGTCGACCCTTGTTCTTCCTCCTGACTCTTTTGTTGCACTCAATTGTTATTGTGGTTATTAGGGATTTTGTTACGGAGTTGTGTTTTATAAATTGAGGTCTCTAATTCTACTCTTAATCCTCCTTTATATGAGCTTGAAACTATCAGTAGCTCAAAATAGGCTTCAGGTGGAGCTATTAAGTTAACAAAAGTTAATGTTTTAAGATGTTCTTTGATATCTGAGTGACATTACTTATGTCTATCTTAAACGTCATGACATTATTCTAAATATCAAGCTTTTATTGCTCATTAAATTACAATAAATATTGGTTTTACACAAATTTTTCTTACGTTTATCCCTAACAGTTCTACTTTTTTTTCACATGCCTTTTTTGGTTTCACCTTTAACAATTCATATCTCTTTCCCCTCCGTTGTATATGTATATCCAAATGGTTTCAATTTTCAAACAATGAATCCAGTTATTTACATACTTATTTCCATAGAAATTAATAATACAAAACTAATGAATTGATAATTTTTTTAATTATTCTTAATTAATTTACACATTCATAATCATTTTTATTTACCAGTTATCATACAAATTTAAAATATTTAAATATGATCAGGTCATGTATTCATATTTTCTGCATCTTTGACAGTTAGGAATTTGTTGCCACTTAACTACTAATCCTTATTAGAATATGGATCTTGAAATGAAATTAACATAAATTGTATCATCTCGAGATTTGAACAATTACAGTGGATATTTTTTTTATCAACCAATAGTCTAGTGTTATTTTAATATATATACATATCCAATGTGATTGCAAACATCATTGTAACTAGTTGAAAAACATGAACTATGAGTAAAATATCTACAGAAGAGATTGATATTTTAGCAATACTATTTTGACCTATAATTTGTAGAAGTGTCTGTTTAAATCTTAGGATATTTCTAGTATTCTTTTTTTGTGGTTGCAGATAGTCATAGTGACTGGATCTACAGACATAACTAACAATCTATGTGTAAATCTTTTTACCTCTGAACATGTAAAACCAGTTACAATTTTGTTTTGTCAACCTTTATTCATACAAACCATCGGTGTTCACGCTTATACCAGTTTTAACATTTTGTTTACTGACGCCTTGTAAGTATTTGTCATTCAGCTATATGACTTACTAAAACATTTTACTATTTATAGTCTGGGAAATTATCTACCTTTTTTTAGTGTACGTTAACGATAATGTTTTTGAGCAGATCTTTTCTATTGTGATAAACAGATAACCTTTAAGATTGTACATACACCATAAACTTGTAACTGTATGCAATATCGAAGGCATCCGTAAAGGTGCTAATAGGTCAACAGAAACGTACTACATTCAGTCCCTGAATATTAATGACTGTAGAATACAAACTTTCGTAAGCAATAATTCTTTATCAGCGTTGAAGTTCAGGTTAGATTTCACCGATCATGTTTGGTTCAAGCATATATTCTGTTTCTATTTTTATACATTGTTATCTGTCGTGTTGAAAGTGAATATTTTCTGGAGCGTTCAATTCTTACTGTTCATATAGTTTGCATTTCATTAAAGATAGACTGTGATCTTAATATGTGAAAGAAGGAAAAATGATATTATATTTCATTATGCTAATTGACAAATGTAAATTGTGTTCATTTGGATTCATATTTTGGACAATCTTCTACAGATTTCACGACAATCTCGACGTAAAGTTATTTCAGATATTACCGAAGATTATGGTCCAATCAATGCGACTGTTCAAGTTGATTTAAAAATTATAGAAAGTAATTCAAAACAGTTATTATCCGAAGATGTTAAACCATACTTATTAAATGATACAGACTTCTTAGAAAGCCTAAAGTTGATCGGATCTTCAAGGGATGGAACAATTTTACTGTTACATTTCCTAGATCCTCTTACTATACTATTGATTTATGCCAATTCTAAGTAAGTTCATTTCCTAACTTATGGTTATTAATTTTTGACAACAGTCAGTCATGTACAATGTATGATAATACATGGATCTCTTCTAATCTAAGTTGTCTCACCATGTCTGTTGTGTTGATACAACGATCTTCCTTTGCTATCGTGAGAATTAACAAATCACTTATTTCTTTATGTTCTGAATATTCAGGTGGGTCCATTGAACAAGGATAAGGCTGAAAACACCAAGTTCAAAGTTTGAGACGAAAGTTGTTTGTAACAGGTAGAATCGTGCTCCGCACAATTACCCAAAATTGCTAACAACCTAGACGTAGACAGTAGTTAGACAACGTCGAGCTTAAAAATGATACCCACTTCTCTTGCAACATAGACTTTAGATAGGTGCGACAGGGTTTTAAAAGTTACGGAGATAATGCTACAGGAAAAATACCTACGGATTAGTCATGTTTAACTGACTTCAAGCAGTTTCCTGTTGTTCTTTACAATCCCGCCACCATGTCTTGGAGATCAGTAATAATGCTAATGCTAATACCACTACTAATTATAATAATGTGTAATAATTCCGTCTCTATTTGACGTCCTTCTTATGATATGGGCAACGGGGAGGTACCGAACACCACCAGACTCTCACCAACGGCCTAGTTTGCCAAAAGTCTTACTATATGAGTTAAATTAATAATAAACTTGACTTTGTATAAACGATCATAATTACAATCTGTCTGTACTTAGTTCCGCGTGATTGAGCTCATTTGAATATCCTGTAAATCTTAAGATCTTCAGTAAGTCATAGTACCCTTGATTAGTTTTTTCTTCGTTTTAGGGACTTGTGCTTCTAGTTTCAGATCATTTAATGCAGATTGCTATGAAAACTAAACATCAAAATTTCCTTTTGTTTCACAGTTTTCTCGTCTCTTAAAAATATAAAGTAGGAAGATAATTTTGTCTGCACTTTCGTTATTGAAATAATAATCTTGCAAACTGTTAAGCATTCGTATTTCGTAATGATTGACATCACGTATTTGAAGAAACCATTTAAAAAGTTTAGGCATATTGAAACAGTTGTCAATTTTCTCATGTATACAAGGTAGTATGCTTATCTAATCAAACAACAATTTCATATACTACCATCAGCCAGCTATAAGTTCATGCACTTGCCTTTAAACCACAATTGAAGTGTGAAGACTGACGATACTACCCAATTGTTCAAACCGAAGTAGATTGAGCGGATTTTGAGCTTGTGACATAGTGGTTGGTAGTCGAGTGTTTTAACCACTGAGTCAGTGCTTCGTAATCACACCACTAAAAGTAATCCACAGTCTTCATTTGGTTTTTACATTGCATTGTTAGAGATTTCTTTTTGACTCCAGTTCAGTTATTGTCAATGCTGATGGACGGCCTATGCTCCTCCACGAGGGTTAACAGGTGTGAGTCAGTTATTGTCAACACAATGACTAGCGAGGAGTATTTGAAATTTGTAGTCACAGTAAATTTCCTTGGGGCTTTTCCATACTCTGGACTGAAATACAATTAAAAACACTAATGTCAGATTATTCGAAACGTGACTAAATTAGTCACTGTGAAAAACAACTAGGTATAACACTCATGTCCATCGAATGACTGTCAACTGATATAGATAATGTATGTATTTAGTCCCAAAATAATTCACTGATAATATCTTCAACAGGTATGGAACATATCATATTAGAATCATGAAGCTAACCTGAAGTATGTGCTGATACTGTTGTTCAGAGGAAAAATGCAAGCTCTACAACTAAACCATCTAACTTAGAGAATGGAACTCCACAAAAAAGAAGCTAACTTTGTATTACAATCGTTAAAACGTTTCTCTATTTTTGTGGGTTTTATTTAACAAATAAACTGTTTCTGAAAGCTCCAGTTAATTCTCGTCGTCCTATACCCTAAAAATTATCAAACATAGAACTTGTGAATAATCTAGTTTAGAAATATAAAATATAATTTTCCGTGTAGGACGTGTTTGTTTAACAGCATTTACTTTTTTGAAGGCTATTTAGTTAAAATACACATTTTTTTTCCCAGACAGGCGTCTATCGCTGCGGCATTTTTGGATAATTATATTATACCATGGGATTCTTCATCAAACGGACTACCTAAAATAACTGGTGGTTATGAAATTCATTTATCCACTTCATTATACAATTCTTCAAATTGGTTAGATCGTATGCAAAGATTGATTGAGATTTCAGAACGTGAAGAATCTAATATAAATGATTGTCGAATACCAGCTGAAATTTTCAACGCATTACCTTCAATAAAGAAATTAGATAAACAACTACCTTCTAGATTTGATGGCAACAATGAACAAACTTATAATAATGATGATGAAGATTTCGAAAATGATATGACTAACTTAACTATCAACCGGGCTGTTGAACCATCACAACGTAAGTTTAAAGAATTTAATAAATGTTCTTTGTTTTCAAGAGCTTATTTCTTACTTTCATTCACGTGGTTATTTTAAATCCTATCAACAGCTCATAAAACTACTTTCGTGTTGATGGAATGTTTATTATCAGTTTAAGGTTGTGGAGATTTTTGAAGTTTTAGTATGATCACGAACCGATCCAAGTTAGAAATCATTGTCAACCTGGAAGTGGTGAACGGCCGTTTCGTCCTAGTGTAGAACTTCTGGGCAATGGACATCCATAATCTTACAAGTGAGAATCGAATTCATGATCTTCAATCTCGCACGCGAACCACTGAGCCAGCATCCATCGTTTTAATGCCTAACTTCAATCAACAGCCGAGATTGGCGGGAGTCAACTCTTCCTCTCGAAATGCTCTCAAATGGCCACGTGCATACAGCCACTGTCAGCGAAGTCCTACTCACTGCGTTCTCGCGGTGGGAGGTGTTGTTTACGAAATTAAGAAGACGAAAAGTGAATGTTCGGCGCTTTAACCGGGTCGATGAATATGGAGGATCCACCTAGGGGAGTTGGAAAGCCCTTATTCCAAACCAATGTTATATATGGGGTCTAGGATTCTGAAGGAAAAAATGGTGTATGAACCAATTATTGATCACCGGCTACCACGGGACTTTATCTCCACTGTCTTGTAGATCAGATCTTTAGGTCGAAGGCTCTGGGTGTGGCCTCTTAGCAAAACCACCTGCGTCTGTATGAGCACCCGGGCAGCCCACACACAAACCAAGTGACTTGTTTGGCATAAATGTATTCAGTGTCGCCTTTTACCAATATTTATATGTTCAAATAATAATAATAATTGATTGATTGATTGAATATGTCAGTGATTGTAGTATTCCGAACCGCCTCAAATGTTTACCGAATATCTCATGGAGGAATAAAATAAGTATGAAGAGAACTTATAGGTTTATGAAAGAAAATTCCTTTAGTTTTGTGAATAAATGAATGATTTGATTAATGGGTGGATCGCTGAGACATGTTTTTTAAACTTTTGAATTTCGCTACGTGATATCTCCAATTATCAGTTATTCTTTTCAGTGACCATCTGAGTAAATCCATCTTTATTATTAGTTCTACAAGAATAATGTGATAGATGGTGTTACATTATGTGCCAGAAAAATATTCTGTATTACTACAACGTTTAATGTCAACTTATACTAAAGTTATACAAGATGTTAAATATTTACAAAACTTGTTACGATAATTTTAGTCTTTGAATATCTATTTCTCAGTTTTATTTAGCTGAAATGATATGGCGTAAATCGATATTTCATCATAAATTAATGATATTCGAAAAGTATCGCCTTTCGAATACGTACAGGCTTTTTACTTAGCTTACTTTCCGTATTTACCGCATAAAAATATGGTAACACAATCAAGTATGGGATAATGGGTTTTTCGTCGACATTAAACAGATTTCATTACAAGATTTACTAATCTAGGTTATGATAACTTCTTGTAGTCTTCCTTAATTTGGTACATACTAAAATTTTGAACTCTGTCTTGGTATGTATTTCATTATTAACCGAAGTTCCTTACGGTCATTTGAATTTAGTTACTGTTAATCGATGTAACTGTTTCGGCAATCGTTAATTTCAGTATTAAACACATTAACTACTAATAAGTAATAAGGCGTATTTTAAGAGTGTTACGTAACTTGTCTCATATTGTATACAAACGTCACGTCGTATAAAATGCTCACTAAAGAAAGACTAACCCTCGAAATTCGAACTGTCATGTATTATTTTGTGGAGAACAACAAATTTAATCCCTTTTCTAACAACAGATATAAAACGAAAGGTATTTAAAACATTATCATCTTGTTAGATAGTCTTATGATCTCAGTGATTAACAGTATCATATGGTTCATGAGCTCCTATGTTCTCGTTTACATCATTATTAAAGTCCTAGTGTAGAACACTTAACAGCTTATGTATTATATTCCCCAAAATAGTTATTCACTCATTCAACATATAAAATTGGAGTAAATAAAAACACAGAGAGACGGTTACACATGGTCTTCCTCTTCTATTTCTTCTTCACTATTCAGTTTTACAAAGTGAAGTACTGTGGTTACACTTCAGGATAAATGTAATAAATATCAATCCATCTCCCCAATTATTGTGATTCGTTGTGCATACTTTCTTCTCTCCGTATCTCCTATTTAAAACATTTTGCTTTGATTTTTCTAACTCTGTGTATTTTTCTACGTTTGACTCGTTTACCAAGTACGGGGCTTGTGATAATCCTTGATTAACTAGAACAGATTAATTGATGGCAACATGAAACCTGTGATTTAATTGTGAAGTTGAATGCTCTGATCGACAATCCACCTTTCTATAAATATTTTGCGAGTAGTTGTCTTATTGTCACTGTTCAAGATCAACTGTTTACCTGTTAAGTTGATTATTTTAAGCCATACTTGTTAACTATTCAGAGTTATGTACAAATTCATACGCTCAATTGTCAAACTAATGCTCAAATTTTTAAATGATATTAACAGACTCATGTCGCTTAACGATGGTTACTAATCGAAAAATACTGATCTAAACAGCAGTAAACTGTCAGCCTTTAGTGTGTAGATTGTTATGATAATAATAAACAGATAGCACTGAGTAAGAAATGTATTTATTCCCTTAAAAATTTATATTCCATAGAACAGTAGAAATCTTAGAAGGCAACTCCTGGTTTAATTGTAAGTAATCATCGAAATCTTGTAGCAATACCAATCAAGATTTAGAAGATAGACGCTTCTATCAAAACTACAACCAACTGAAACATTGATGTGTAGCTAATTCTCTTCTTTTCAGTATTTTAGTGTTATAATATTCGATCCAACTAGTTTATATATTATGAAATATATCATTATGACCATCATTGGAATATTTAAACATATCTATTCCCATTAAGGTGAAACTCAGTTACTTTTTAAGACAATGATTAATTGAAGGGTGGTAAAATTTCGTTTTAAAGAACTTATTAGTAACTAATTCATTTTATCACATTATAATTCATTTATTTTCAAAATAATTAAAAAAGAGACTTTCTTATCGATAATCAACTTTTCAAAAGTTTAAAAGATCTGATTTTATTCTTGTCTTTAGTTTAATAGTCAAACAATTTAAATCTTCAAAGGTATTAACAGAGCGAATTTTTTATGTGAAGATTACTAATATAAAGTTCACAGTTAATCTGTTTAGTTTTATCTATGAAAGAATTCAATTAAATCTTAGTGCTTGACTTATATATATAACATATAATGATTTAATACAACTGTTTTTTGCTTCGTTTTTTTAAACAAAAATTGATTGCTCCATTATTATTGTTGTCATTTATGTCTACTTTAATTATAGCTCGTAATCGTCCACCGCCTCCTAGACCAGCTCCACCGTTAATTAAACAATCCGTGAATATTAGTAGTAGTATTAGTAGTAATTATAGTAAAGATGAATTTGATGATTATCCAACTAATAATAATAATTCAATTGATACAAAGAAAGTAAATATCTCTCATCCTTTATCACAAACTGATAATGAAATTGATTCCGAATTTGATAAAATATTTTCTATTTCTCATTCTCAAACTAATTCACCTGTTCATAAATTTTCATCGAAATTAAATACTACAATTTCAAATGATTTATTTACACCTTATAATGATAGTATTCATATGGTTAGCAGTTGTGTAGATCTTAACTTTCAGGATAATTCAATTTTACAACATGATCACAATAATAAAAATCGTATATCATCCACAACTGATCTTATTGGACTTGAATTTGAAAAGACAAATTCCACTGTCATTAATGATACAACGTCGTCATTTACTCATTTGCTTGATCCAGTTGTTGTTCCACCTCCGTTACCTCAAAGACCAGAAAATGTTAGATCATCACATTTAGAGCAATATTTGTAAGTTTTTTCTGTGTTCGTTTCCAAATGTTTAACAATTTAGGAAATTCTTAATTAGTTTCATCTGATGTTGTCCTCGTTTGAGTGTTTGTAGTTCTAGTTATTTATTATGGAAAAATTATTGATTCCGGTAAAGTAAAAGTTTCTGATGAGATATTTTAAAAAAGACCGCTGAAATGAAGAAACATTAGTTCTATGACTTTTTTCAAATGTCTTTTAGGCCTAGATAGTTTATTCAAGAAGGTAGATAATTTATAGAGATGAATATCTCTTCCAATATAATATACGATTATCTTAAACAGCTTACAACCACATCCTCTTTAGGAATTGTTATCAGGAATTGCAGGTTTTGCAAGAAAACATGAAATGTTTAACCTAGTAATTAACGTTTTCAACATTTGACAATTAACGCATGCATTATTAAATGAGATCTGCTGCATTTTTAAAACATTTGAATTCTAGCGGTTACATCATTTCACTAAAATTTCGAGTATTCTTCTGAAAAGGTTACTATAATTAACATAAGGAATTCTTCAGGAGGTATGAGGTATCTAACCCTTATTTATGAGTCGTAAATTCGGATGAAACAGTTGTTCAGTACTCTGTAATCTTTAGTCATTATATTAGTCTGTAATGTAAACCAACGTACATTACTTTATATGATATTTGATCAGACAACGTATAGGTAAACTATTTTTCATAAGACGAAAGCATATTATTTTGGTATCTGAATTTTGTCCAATCAATGAACTAAATTATTGTCTATTACATAGTCTAAGATCTGTATAAAAGTTTTCGATATATCTGTCTAACACGATATGCCTGGACACTGAAAATTAGTGATTAAACTCTGTAATTAGTTAAAACTTAAAGATCAATCATAGTTTTGTAAATGCACATACACATTACGTATAATCCTCTCAATATCTAAGGCAAACCTACTTTTCTTGTTAATTCATGTTTTTATATTATGTTTGTACATTGTAGTAATCTTTCTCAGATTCTTGTCAACTTTACAGAAAAATAAATATGACATAATAGACGTTGTTTATTCAACTATATCTGCACATATTTAAACGGTCCTAGTACCAGTTTATTTTTTGTTAGAAAACAAACTAATTTATCAATTAACAGATTTTATAATGAAAACTTATCTAAAGTTGTTATTTTATCCTCGTCATATTCAGTTCCTGATGTGTTTTCTTTAATTCAAATATTAAATTACCGTATCTAATAATGTTCACTGAATATTTTCTAAAAGTTTATATTTCGATTTATTGTCTAACGGTAGTATGTAAACATAATTTTCAATTAGAAATGGTTTTACAAAAGAAATGGAGCTTTTGTACTGACTGACAATAAAAATAAATATCTACACAAAATAAGGGTTTCAATAAATAATCAAGATCAAGGTTAACAGAATGAACTGTTCATCATATATGGCGAAATTCGAGTAACTCACTTTTATCTAATATTTGTTCTGATAATGTCCAAAAAGAGAATGAATTCTGCTCAATTAAGCCGCCATGCTCACATATTGAAACTTCGGCAAAATCGCTATTCATATCATTAAACATATCGCTTACATCTATTATACACAATCGTCAAAACTTGTTCGACGCTGAGATTACATATGTACTTTTTTAGTAATTGGAAAGCCTCATAGTTTCCCATTATTGATATTCAAAAATGAATAATAATGGTTATTATAGCTCTATTTAGCTCTATGAATTTTGGTACAATGAAAAAATCTCAACACCAACTATATAATATTACATTACATATCTCTGTAACATATATCGAAACTGTTATTATTTATAACATATTCCGAAAATGTTTATAACAGTCAGTATCTTTCACCTGTATCCAGTTACTAAAATTTTCTACCAGTTCATTTGCTACAACTGTTTCCACGACTTTCGATATATTTGTATCTCGTTTTGTTGATAGATAGAAAGTAGTCAAGATCGAGGTATGTAATCTTTGTGTTCGAGTTTTCCAGTGTTTAGTAGCGCGATATTTTCTAACCCTCTTTTAATGGCAGTTAACATTCATAATTACTCAGTTTAAAACAAATCTGAAATCGGTGGGTTGATTTTAATATGTGTACAGTCGACGAAAGTTATCCAAACTTTCAAACATGCCGCTTAATCAGTTTCGTTTTCAGCGGGTGTCTCAATCCTTTGACAAGTTAATAATATTTGAGATATCAGCAATACGAAAATATGAATTTCCACAGTAATGTGCATAGGGTTTGTAATCACCAATACAATTAGATTTGTAGACTTTGATTAATAAATTAGATCACCATCTCTGTATCAAAATTTGTTTTGATTTCAGGTTGTTTATTATATACCAGTATGAATGTAAAGCAAATACTGTAGAGCTTCATATTTCATTTCATTTCGCGGTTATGTAAATAGTGCTGGGAATTATTTCTTTGTATAAAACTACACATAATGAAGACAATAGTTTATGTATTTTGTCAACATTTATTATTCACAGATTAAGTTACTTCGTTTTTGTCAAAGAATATTTCACAGTCAGTTTTCAAATCAAAATAACACCCAATAAATTATAGATCTATATATTTCCTTTGACATTGAATGGTTATGATAAATCAAAGTATTCTTTTCGTAACTTTTTGGCCTTCATTTTACCAATTCATGATCAGAAAACTTTCCTACTAAATCTAGTTTCTTTTTATACTCAAGAAGACTGATTCATTTGTTTGGGTAGTCAAAATCACTATTGTTTTCGTTTGATACTTTCCTGCTGTTCCTGTTTTTGGTTGTTATTTTTCTCGTCATCTTAGTTATGTTCAATTTATCAGGTACAGGTAGTACAATGCTTGTTTGTGAAGTAGCCGGGTAGGTATACTGGGTGTGACGAATAAACCGATTTATATGGAGCATGGCAAACTATAGTACCGCTAACTCAATGGTTCGAACCTTCGATCTACTATATGAATACTGAATGCTTCAACCACTAGATTGTCAGTGCACATTCTTACCAGATTTTTTAAAAGAATAATTATCTAGATTGCATAGGAATTTTCATTATTTTTACTGATTACAAGGGTTATCATAAGATCAATAAATATTTTCAATCTTAAGTAATATCGAAACCAACAAACTTCCACTTTTCACTGCTATCACATCAACTGTTGTACTTAATAAAGAAACTATTAATCTATTTTGAGTCGCATTATTTAATATTCGTTAATTAAATATTTCGTATATCCTTTAATATTTTTCTCAGTCAAAGCAACTGGAATTATAGGCAAAGATGATAGTGGCTAGCAAAAGAATCCAGGACACGCGTTTCGTTCCGCTTGGGACTCGTCGGCTCGGTGTACCTGCATCCCAGAGTTGGTGTTTACTCCGGGACTCAAACCCAGTACCAGTGTTGTGAATAGCACACGGGTGGGAACGATCGAATATATTTATCACAAAAATACAGGACTTGTTAATAAAATCTAGTAATCATAAAGTAAATGCTTAATCTACAAAATGTCCATCAATTTTCTCAAAATGACTCAGACTCCATTGTTCTTGCATTTTCATGCAAATCGCATCCTGTTTCCATTCTTTACTGTTCGATCCTCTTGTCTTTCTGCTATCAGACCTGTTCGCGCCTAACATCATATACTACTTATGTCAATTTAAGTAGCACACACCACACCAGTACTGGAACGAGACGCGCTTCCTGGATTCCACTGCTACCCACCATCATTTCTGCTTATAATAATCATTGTGACTTAGCGAAAATATCGAGGCAATCTACACAGTATGGACAAATGCCAACAGGAAACTGACCAATTAAAATCCTAAACATCACTGACAAGATTCAAACAATCAATACAAAAATGAATCAACAGGAATTATCTTCATCAACCTATCTCAGACTTGTTTTCATAAGGGATTTCTAAGCGTGTTTCGTTTTAGGGTTAAGTTACATTATAAACTACCAGCAACTAGTGTAGGGAGAAGAGGAACCATTAAAGACCATATCGTACTGAACATTTATTTCGTTTTTGGTTTAATACTCCTCAACAATACCCACTCATTACTTTAGATTCGACACAAAACCTTCAAATTGTGTAGCGACTAGTATTTCGTCTTTTTTTGTTGATTTCAATCTAGTTGTCTTAGAGTATTATGCTTTATGCAAGACCTGAATATTTTAAGTTCTATCTCATACTCCTTCATGGTGGGAGAATGATCCATTCAAATAAGTTCCAAATTATTATAAATTACTCTTCATCATTGATTAGGTTTTTAGAAATTCTTCAACTGATATAACTCTATGTTAAGATTAGCTAACTTTAACATAAAGTATAGTTTATACTCCAATTCTTTGATAATTTAGAACTAATGCTTAAATTCATGATATAATATTATTTTTATTAATGCCACGTATATATTACTTGTGTATATAAACTTTATTTACAATAAAATCTTAATGGTAAATATTATTAGATCCTTTTTCTTAACTATTAATATTGTTTTAATTATTATTAATATAGGTTTTCTTTTTTATAGAGAAAAATACAATTTTTTTAAATACTTATCTCATTAAGCACTATTTTATAAATTATTATAAGTGTGTATTAACTGATACTTATCTCAATTCATTTCACAATACAATTGCCACTTAATAATGAACTCTCTTTTCAAAACAAAAACAAAAAAGAACGAAAGAAAGAAAGGAAACTGTAAAATTGACTTGAAAAAGAGAAATAAGTAAAAGCTTCTTTTTTTCTCTGGTCGAAGAAAAGAAAAGATTCCAAAACAAAAGATTAAAATATGATTTTAATGAATTTTAAAAATACTTCACCCTCCTGATTATCACAAATATTAGTTATGTATCTAATGAAATATCAAAACGAGAGAAAAAAAACAACCCGAGAATCATAACAAAAATGCGTGTATATTATCTTTACAACTAACTTTATCTATAATTAATTAGTTTACAATATTCTTCATTGTTCATAGTGTACAATTTACTTATCGTTTATTTCATTATGTATAACATGATGAAAATATGCGTTTATGGTATGCAGATATGTGTATTTATTTTCAAGCCTGTGCATATATATATATCACATAAAGTTTGTGTAAATGTTTATGTGTTCATTACTTCGATACAACTAAGTCTTTTGTTAATGTTGTACATCCAATCTTCTAAAAGACTATACGTACATAGATGGAGAAGTTATTAAGTTGATTACATTTGTAATTATTTTTCTTTTTTAACGTATATAGTAATAATAATGATTAAAGTAAACAAGTCAATGAGGTCATGTTAATGCTTGTTATATATTTAATTAATAAAAAAGAATTTTCAATTTATTATGAATTATCTATGTATTATATGTATACCATTTTCATTTCATTATATGTTATCTTGAATTTTTCTATCTATAGCACAATTCTAATCAGATTTTAATTTTATGGTGTTTTTTTTTAATGTACAACATTGGACTTATTTTACCGATTGAATGAATAGAAATTCTGGTACAATTAGTCACTAAAAAGTAGAATGCTCTGCATAAAAGTAATTAGGTAACATTTGGAAGAAACAAAAGACAGAAAATGAGTAAATTCAGAGGAATGAATAAGCTGAACGGTAGTAGCAAAAAAATAGTCTATGCTGTTTAGTTAAAAGAGTTTTTTCGCGTTTTTTTTAAATAGAAAGTAAAGGGTAACTACGACATGATTGTTGTTAGCTCTTGTTCTGAGTCATGTGTGATAACATCTCAAGCCACTGAGTTGCATGATCTTTAAAAATCCAATTAGTGAGTCTTGAGGTACCAACAGGTTACAGTCTCATACATATTTTACACAAACTGAGACAACATATCACAGACCCTCCATCTCTTTGTTATCTCCACTCCATCACAGCATCGGGAAAAAATGTGCGATATAGACGACGCTAGATTGACACTCGTAACACATATCCAAGCCACTGAATTTGGTGTTTCGTGAAGTCGTTATTAACTCAGTTATCCTCACTTCATATGGGTTAACCTCGACAGTATTAACGTGGTATTGGTAATGAATTCTAGTAGTTCTTCGGAGGCAACGCAGAGAGTTGCCAAACATCCTCGTCTTAGAGGTGTCAGATTTCACTAACATAATATCAAAACTGTTCTCATTGAGGTGTTGTGGGTCAAATCTTGCGCAGTCAGGTACCAGCCTGGTCCTTACTAATCAACTTATCACTTGTCTTGAATAGTCTGCCGAATGTAATCGAAACCGCTTGTTTGAACCCAACCAGAAGTGGACTCATTCTCATATAGTTATTCCATAGATAACGTAGGTCCTCTCAGAGATGGGGATGATGGTCTCTTCATTTCAGGATCCCGAAATAATATGTTTGCCAAACCTTTCCAAACAATCCAATCAGTTCCCTAACCTGAATTTATCACCACTCCTAAGAGGACTCAGTAATTTACTTGGACTTCATCACTTGTGGCGCTCGAGAATTCGTGATTTCTTACTGACTTCTACTTAACTGTATACGATATAATTACTAATTATCGAGAGAATGCCACCATTTTTTACTCGGTTTTTCAACAATTCTGGTTTGGTGTAGTTTTCTCTTCAATACGGTTTTTTTCATTGACCTGTTCACATTGTTGCAATGGTTGGGTGTGTCATCTATTTCCTCCTTGTCCCTCTTTATTTATAGATATTTCTTTAGCTATATTTTTATTAAATTATACCTGATACTTTATGTAGGTAAATAAACAATCTTAATGAGTACTTTGTTACTCCTGTAGTAACAATTGTAATGGAAGTAGTAGTAATATTATAATGTGAACATATTGTACTTATTACTCATTACCATACATATACTATTATTGAGTTTCTTCTTTTCTTAGCAATAAAATGTTTATAAGCCTACCATCATACATAAATTGAACTAATTAATGATTTGTTGTTGTTGTTTTATTTGTTTCTGTTT